CTCTGTTAATCCGAGCTGCAGGTTGTAGAGGTTATGATCTCCAGAAAAACGGGTTAGGATGATATTAAGGGAGGAAAACCCTGTTAGACTGCGAGGAGTCTTTTCCTAAGACCTGAGAGATTGTTAACCCGCTACTTTAGAAAGAAAGTTTTCCTTTGGCATTTAGAAAGGGCATTATCTGCACCCAAGACAAAAGGCGACACTCGTCTATGGTGACCCCTTCTTCATTTCTTCTGTCCCTTCTTTTAGCTGTGGTTGCTGATGAGGGAAAACACCAAACAGTGCTCCTCTTTTCTGAGATTTTTTAAGCGCCTCCACCGCCACCGAGCAGCTAGCTGCTGCACCAAGTCTCGTAAATGAAGCTAACTCAACTTTGTATTAGAAATGACAGACTGCCTGGAAAAGCAAGCTAATGCTATCAAACAGACTTTTACGAAGGTAGACGTGACTTATAAATACAGTATTACATCTTCTCCGGCTAACCGTCAAGTTACAGTTGGCTAATATTTTCTCCTGCCATTACTTTGACAGTGCTGTGACAGCCGACGTATGTCCTGACCCCGGGCAACATCACGCTACAAAACAGCGACCGCCGCTTAAATACGTTCATATTTCTGCATTGATTTTCGCCGTTGCACGTTTCAATTCAAATTCCACAGTGAAAATTTTCAGTAAAAGCAAATCTCACTCACCAGTGAACTCCGATCCGCAGGTTACAAGGTGTTAAAAAAAAGGCTGTTTTCCGGCTGAGTCACCCCACCCTCAAACGCCCATTCTCGTAAGACGGTGAACTGCGAGCGGAGAGCTGAATGGACAGCGTCGCATCGCTCTTTCTGCTGATTGGTGCGTCGCCGACCTCTGTCATGATATTGACCAATCGAGTTGTGATGCGTTGATCGTTCACAACAATCAGACAGCTTTCTGTCCTGTCGCCTCGTGTCACTTCACTTTTACTCCAGGAAAATGCAAATCGTCCATCTGAAGATGCACGCAGCTGAACACCACCGTTTATAAAATAAATATGTAAAATAATACGAATGAAAGACCTCAAAATGAACAACACCCAAACAGGATAAATACTGGCTGTATTGATCTGTACACATTACCACACCTACTGCACTCTATGTACATACATTTCGGTGTTTGTTTGTTTTGTTGTTGTTGTTGTTTTACTGTGTATAATGACCATTTGTATATAACATAGTGTTTTGGCATCTATGTACACTATTCTTGTTATTTATTTTTCGATTTTTATTTTTCTAATATAACTAATTCATTTTTCTTCCCGACCCTTGTAATAAATTAATGTTCCCAGTGTGGGATTAATAAAGTCTATGTTTATGTCTAAATCCTGGAAAACTTGTGTATATAGTCAGGCATACTGAGTGATACAATGATGGGTTTTTTTTTTCTCTTTTCTTTTTTTTTTTGCACTGAAGAAAATGGTATTGCTGCTGATATGAGACAGTGGATGCATTTGGCTGATTAATTAATTTCCAAATAACAACTACAGGGGTTTAATCAAGCAAAATTTCCATATATTGTCTGTTTTCAGCACTTGAAATGTAAGACTGGCTGAATTATTTAAACTGAGTATCTGCATATTCTGAGCTGTTGTTCAAAATGAAAATTATATTATTGAAAAAGGTTGTAAGTTAGACCTTTGAAGCCTTTTTTTTTTATTTATGCCCATTATTTTTAAATTCCATATATGGAATGATTGATAAATATAATCATCTTGTGACAATATCATCTTGTAATCATATTGTCATAATGAAAATAATGTTATATGAATACTGCATCATATTATTGTCTCTTGTCTAGTATTCATATATATAATTCATAGATTAAGTTGAATATACAGTTAGATTTTTTTTCCCTCTTGTACACGCTAGTGTATTGAAAAACCCAGAATGTGATTAAAGTGTAGACTTTCAGCTGTAATTCGAGGTACTTAACAAACATTTTGCATTTACTGTTTATGCTTTTTCAGTGGCTCGTAAATAATTGGGCAACTGACTAGCAAGCAGTTTCATGACCAGGTGGGGGCCTTATGTATATCTGTGTGAAAAATTCAAATAAACCTTTCACACAGTTGGCAAAAACTGTAGCAATGGCTAAATTTGATACATGTCTAAAAATAAGGAATGCACTGACTGTCAGTAACACCAAAATGTCCCCCACAAAAGACAACCAAAAGGGATGATGGCAGAATTATTTCCATGAAAAACAGCTTCACAACACCTAAACAAGACAAGAACGCACTCTGTGGAGGCAGGTGTATTGTCCACGACCACAATGAATGGATGCATTCAAGAATGGAAATACAAATGATTTACAGCAATGTGCAAACTACTGGTTACACTCACTTATCATAGAACATCCAAAAGAGCCTAAAGCTGAAAATCAATCAATCAATCAAAGCTTTATTCGTCACATCAGTTCATTATCTTGAGCATACCACATCATATATCAAATATGGTGGAGGAAGTGTTATGGTATGGGCATGTATAGCTGCCAGTGGAACAGGGTCACCAGCATTTATTGATGATAGAAGAAGTAGGATGAATTGTAAGGTTAACAGGGCTGCACTCCCTGGTCCGATTCAATCAAATGCTGCAAAACCAATTACACTGAGCTTAACAGCACAGATGGATAATGGCCCAGAGCATACTATAAAAGCAACCCAAGAGTAAAGGTAAATAAAAGGCATAGTCTTCAATGGACAAGTCAGTCACCTGAACTCCACCCAGCAGAGCACGCTTTTCACTTACTGAATGCAGAAAAGCAAATGAAAAGCAACTGAAGGCGGCTGCAGTCGAAGCCTAGCAGAGCATCTCACAGCATTTGGTGATGCCCATGGGTTCTAATCTTTAGGCAGTCACTGACTAGAAAGGATTTGCATCCTGGTGTTAAAAACAATCCTGATATTTAAAATTGTCATACATTTTCCCATTACTTCTGAAAATGCATGAGTCTGTATAAAAACATCTGTAATTCCTTAACAGTTCATGCGAAACTGTTGCACTTCAATGTTTTCCTCCCTCAACCTGGATGACCAACCCTCCCCAAGCCTGGTTCTGCCAGAGGCTTCTTCCTGTTGAAAGGGAGATTTTCCTTTCCGCTGTCGCCAGGTGCTTGCTCATAGGGGGTTGTCTGTTTGTTGGAGTTTTCTCTGTATAAAACACTTTGAGGCGACTGCTGTTGTCAGGTTTTTCTATAAATAAAATCTTTGTTGATTGAATTAAAATCCACTGTGGTAGTGTCCAGAAGCAAAAATACAAAAAATAAAAACGTGTCATTGTCCAAAAACCTATGGACCATAATACATCTTTAGTTTTTCACCAGAGACACAAAAAGTGAATGTTTCTGATTTATCGTTGAAGCTGTACTTCTCCGCTTTTACCACCAGGGTGCAGTGATGCACTTTTGAGACAGGACAAAAGTGCCTTGGACTATATTCTTTGTTGTATTGTTAGTTTTTGTTACATATTTTACCTGAGTACACACAACATGGAGCAGATGAAGGCAGAATATATTCTTTATATTGTGCTGTCATAAAGTGGTTAGTAGTCTGTAAAGAGTTGGAGATGAATGTTCAGTGTGTATCTATTTAAGCGGTCTTCAAACGATCAAATGATTGGCCTTCGTTTGTGTGTTTTAAAAAACAACAAACAAACCTCAAACCCATATAACAATAATAAAGCCTGAAAATCAGTTAATTCATATGCTTTTGACGACGCCCGAGCCAAGAGCAAAAATCTCCCTCCTAATATGCACATGACTATGAGATTCAGTGCCGGATGGCTGCTTTTATGTTACCTCAGATGGTGGGTCTCTGTGATGAATTATAGACAATAGGTTGAGGGCAGTCAACAGTGCATTTATGACAGATAATAAATGTGCACTGCCAAACCAAGCCAATTGAAGTGTGCCGTTCTGGAATGGAAAAAGAAAGAGAAAGGAGTTCATAGGCGAAAATTTTGATATTGTGTCAACACTTTATTATGCACCACCACCATGCAAAATCACTGCTATGAACTTGCTCAAAAATCAAACTAGATATTTCACACATTTATGATTTTAGATTGGCTTGCCACTTTTCCTAAAGTGACTGGGTAAAGTTTGGTGCACACTCAGAAAATACATCGAGAGTGTGTGTGTGTGTGTGTGTGTGTGTGTGTGTGTGTGTGTGTGTGTGTGTGTGTGTGTAAGTTACAAAGATTTGAGTGACTAGCAAAGGGAACAACGGCTGATTATCTATGATTTAGCCTTAATTCATAAACCACTGATAGTAAATGCAGTTTCTTCGATGCCCTCATGGTTGTAAATCTTTAAGTTTGAGTGATTTGGATCCATTTGTGTCATCTCTTCTTCCACTTTAAACAAACATTCCAGACATCAGAACCAGTCATCTACATCTTATATTTAATTGACATTTAATAGACAGCATACATGATTGCAGACCAGTTCCCTCTGCAGACAAACAAACCCTACTAGTATCAGTATTATCATCTCCAGTGAAGACTTCCAGCATTGCTGCAGGTTTTGTTGAAAGCTACATGCTGCACTGACAGGTTGAGCAAACTCCATTGAGAGGTCATCCAATCAGCTAAGGCAGTGTGAGTTATTATTAACACTAATCTATCAAATAAAACAAACGCATCTGATTGGCCAGCTCAAAAAAATAAAATTAAATTAAAAAAATGCCAAAGCAACTCAACAGCAGCTGTAAGAAATATACTAACATTTGTTCATGGTAACCTGGCCAGAGCAACACGTTTACAAAAGATTTCAGCTTTGATCATTTACATCATCATCATCATCAGCTCCAACGTAATCCCAGGCTCATTATCACAAATTATAAAGAAGATGACAACAATTTGACTTCAAAGAATCACGGTGTCCACCCTGTGCTAACAGTGCAGTTGTACATTTGCTAAACAACTGATATATATAAAAAAAAAAAAAAAAAACCCAAAAAAAAACCCAGATAAAAATTAAGAAATAATTTCCCAAAATTGTGTTCTTTCCTTTTTCTGTTTTCTTCCTTATGGCACCTGTGGTATAAGAGACAGCTCAGGAATTAATCTCTTTACATAAGCTCACAGAATTACCTTAAATATGTGCTTGGTTAAAAATATATATCTTTACATAAATGTATTTTATGGTTGGATTTAGCATAACTTAAATTCTTCATGTCCGCAGTGCTCTATACTGTCGGCCAAACGTCGTCTCGTCCAGTGTCTTCAGCTGTTTTTGCTTTTCATATTGCTCGCCTGTGAAGAATAAGGACAACGTTAGAAGGCGTGTGAGTGCGTTATTCAGACAAATCCCAGCTCTGACAAGTGTGCTGGATAAGCGGTAAACAAATTGGATTGATGGAAGGATGACTGTACTCCCATAGTAACATCAGTACTGTAGCTCGTTTGTGCTTCATCCGTCTGCCATGTGGGCAAACGATTCATACATTTCATGTAGAGATCAACTTAAACGTCTTAAAATAAGCCTGATACATCATCTGCTCTTCACTACATGACTGGTGAAAAGAATATATAGCAACATCTGTAGAAAAGTAGAAAGAAAAAAAGAACTTCAGACCAGCTCTTTATTGAAGGGACAAAGTTTTGCTCCCTAAATCATGCACACAGTTTTCAAACTAAGGTGCATTTATTTAAATTTTACTGGAGTATCATCGTAATCTGCTGCTTTAAGAACTTTACATAGATGGAGAGAGGTTTGGGCCCCAAGTCTACATTTGAGACTCTCACAGTGTGTGAATGCGAGATTGAATGAATAGTGGAATTGTAAAGCGCTTTGAGGGTCTTGAAAAGCGCTATATAAATGCAATCCATTATAACTTAAATTAAAAAAAAAAAAAAAAAAAAAAAAAAAAAAAAAAAAAAATAATAATAATAATAATAATAATAATAATAATAATAATAATGCTTATTTAACAGCTTGCTATGAAGCTGAAACGGTTCTTCAAACAATTAGATGTCCATCTAAATCCAACTTGGCTAAACAGGAAAATGCAGTTCTTATTTTTGAGATACAAATTACTGAGGTTTTGATACTTCATATCGATTTTAACTATTTCCCACCAAAATTGTTTTAAAGCATTTATTCTGAAAACTGGGAGACAAAACCAGAGATGCACATTTTTGCCAGTTTAGCTTAAAATACAACAAAGTCAGCGTGCTCAGAAGAGTTTGAGGCAATTGTTGAAATTGAGCATGTTACCGCATGTTATTCACAAGCTCAGCATGATTCTCTGCTCTGCGATTGCCAAAACCCCCCAAAAAACTCCTGGACAACCTGCTTCATGGATTTCAGGATTGACAGAAACACCTTTTTTAATTTTGCCTTCACTTTTCTGTAGATCAAACTTATTTCTTAAATGCTGAAACTCACGTCCAGTTAGTCTAGCTGTCCAGTTCTTGGACGATAATAAATTAAAAAGGAAACAAAGAAACAAGGGGGAAAAAAACAACAGAAAAAGTAAAATGGTAAGATTGTAACTAAAAGATATCATAAAACATCCAAGTCCAGGCACTTAAGGTCAGCTTGGAAAAGTAATGAAATGTCTTTATTTTACTGGTAGATATTTTCAGATAAATTTTTTTTACCAGTGTATACTGGCTTGTGCCTTTTTTAGGGCTTAGAGATACAAAGATATCAACAGAGCAAGCCTCAGACACCACAGCTGTGCAGCAAGTACTTGCATCATTTTCTTTTGCCTCTAGGGGCAATGGTAAGCCCTTAAGGACATCACCTGACAGTTGTTGAATTATCCTTTGGCCAAGCACTGCACTGAAGAACATCATGGAAGTAATTCAACCCTGAGAGTGTCAGGTATTCAAACTGTTACTCTTGATTGGGTGAGGATAAAATCAAAGGTCTCAAAGAGAGGCAGTTAATTTCCCCCAGAGGCCACATGAGAAACTGAGACTGTTGTGGAGGGCCACACCAACAATACAGAGACAGCATTAATATTGAACAGAACTGACTTCAGCCTATTGGGGTGAACCTGCACAACAGTCTCAGTTTCTCATGTGGCCCCTGGGGGAAATTACCTGTCCACTGCTGCCCTACGCCCATCAGTTACCCTAGTCTCACTTAGACTTCTCATATTTTTATAGGCAATATCATGGTTATAAATTATGGTTACTGTTTTCGCAATTGACCAGAATTAACCCGGGTTAATTGTTGTTGATCACCAACGACACTGTAAATTTCCTTTTGCGGTGGCTTCAGTGTATTTTTTCCCCTTTTGTTGCATATTTTATTATGAATTTTAATTTATTGTACCCATAACATCTTTGGTTAGCCTATCACAGAGCCTTGTGTACCCTTACATTGGTATGATGATGTGCACTAGAAACTAGAGATCAAAAAAAAAAGAAAAAAAGAAAAAAGATCTACAGCTGACAGGTAGAAATAACTTACCAGTCACCCGGACCTACGTGGTCACTGCTGCAGAGTCACCTGCGCCACATAATTAAAACCAGCACAGCAGGTCAGAGCAGGTACTGACAAGGGGCAATTTAATAATTCAGAACACACAATATGCCACCTTCTCCTGCTATTTCAGTCTTGGAAAGCTATAACTCACCATGCACGTTTTGTCCGTTTCCTGCCTGTGCTTTTTCAGTTCATCCAACTGGAGCTCATCCTCCAGCTGCCGCTCCAGATCCTTCTCAAAGCACTCCTCATCGGCAGCGCTTGCAGGCCTGTCATGAAAAAACAAAGCAGTTTAAAACTGGGGAAAAAAAAGTGATGGATGCGACTGAATAGTTCTCTATAAAAGTCTAATATATGACCTACGTATAAAGTGCTTGGTGTACTCAAAACGGTGAACTGCCTGAATGCTTTATGAAATACAACTAAAGTTCTTGAATTTGCACCCACTCCACTGACATTTTAGCCAAATCAAAGAGAAAATCAGCAGCATTCATAACAAAATTCCACATTTTTATAACCCGTACTCAAGCATAATACTGTTCAAGATGATCACAAATAAGAAGAAGGTGCATGGACTTCCTCTCAGTAAGTAAAACAATCTCACTGCCCTAACTGTTCTCAGTCCCACAGACAGCTGAGCGAAGCAAAGGGCGTGCACGCCCAGAGCCCTGGAGCCAGTGCTATCACTTGGTCTTCAGCTTTTTTTCCCAATCCATGCATCATTATTATGAAAACTGCAGTAATGGGATTTTAAAAACATACAGTAGTATAGTATGAAAGGGTTTGAAAGGTTAATATATGATCAGATTAAATCATGTCATAATAGTGTAGGTTGTAGCTGTGGGTTAAATGTCAACTATCCATTAACGTGAGGAAAGCATAAACAGTTTATGGGAGAAAGGCGCACTCAGCAGGTCAGCAAAGCATAAACTGTCAGCAACAGCTGTGGGAGTGCTCCAGTTCTGCCTCCTGTGCGGGGGGGGGGGGGGGGGGGGGGGGGGGGGAGGTCACGTGACGCTGCTAGCTGAAGCTCACAGGAGAACTGCAGCTTTGACATTGGATGATAGTGTTGGAGCAGGAGTGTCGGCGCTACCAGAGTAGCTGCACCCTCTGACGTCTCCTGTGGGGGATAAGGGAGCTTGTTGTGGATTTCAATCATCATTTACCCACAGCTAAGGCTATCTGACGTTTCCTGTCGGCGCCTGCTGAGGTGAAAGGCTCTTTTTGCAAAGGACTGTTTAGGATTAGGACAACGTAAAGATGCCTGAAGAGGCCGTCACTTATCGCTGTTCAATCAAAGCTGTCAGGAACAACTTGAGCAATGACTCCCCCCCCACCCACCCCAAACAGACAGAAGAAAATCTGTTTTCGGTGGGATAATCCACCAAAGTTTAAGTCCCTCACATGTATATACTGCTTTTGCATGGGTACATATTATAAATGTAAATAATGTCTAAAGTAGTAATTTAACATGACAAAACAAAAAAGTTCAAAGCAATACACGGTGTATTTATAAGCAGCCTTTGCTATTGTGTGATCAAACTCTACTCTTTGCATGAGTGGGTTAAGTCGGCTCGTGACAGGTTTGTGACCACGGCACAAAAAACCCCCAAAAAAAACCCGGTCGTGATAAACCGTCCACTGTGCCCCGATGCACACGGTCGCAGCCCAGAGGCGGCAGAAGTCAGAAGACACCTCTGTGTGAGTTCTTTAAAATTCTTAGATACTTTAATCTGAAGGGCTTGAAGCCCCCCAAAAATGTTCAGAAATAAACTAATATGAGAAAGAAGATTGAAAAAAATCTTTCTCGTTTATCTTTTGAACTGAGCTAAAATTTCAAACTGTTTGTACGGGCCTAAAATTAACCAGACTTTAACCCTCCACCTCTTCAGACTCTTCTCCACCTGCTCCATACTCTCGCTACAGATCACAATGTTGTCTGTAACATCATAACGCACAGAGACTCATGTCTGATCTCATCTGTCAGCGAATCCATCACCATGACAAACAGGAAGGCGCTCTTAGCCGATTCCTGATGTAGTCCCACCCTCACCTGAACCCATCTGTCACTCCAGGTGCACATCCCGCCTCCGTCTCACTGCCCTGCATGTCCTGCACCACCTTTACATACTTTCACTCGTGAATTCCTCATGCAGTACCACAGTTCCTCTCTCACCACCCTATCATATGTGTTCTCTAGATCCACAAAAACACAGTGAAGCTTCTTCTGACCTTCTCGATACTTCTCCATCAACACTCTTAAAACAAACCTCACATCTGTGGTGCTCAGCATGACTCCTGCTCAGTGCTCGTCACCTCTCTTATTAACCTAGCGTCAACATCTCTTTCTCATATCTTCATGTTATGGCTTGACAAAAAAAGACTTTGTGTGTACTTTTAATAATATGGCTGCTTTTGCAGTATCTTAAAAGTACCTTGGTTTGTAAGCGTAGAAAGGATCTGAGGAGTTTGTGGCCAGTAGTTCACGTCCAAAATCTGAATCCACAGTGCTCTCCGTTTCACTTCCACCCTCTGTTTATTTAAAAAAAAGATAATAAAAACAGTTAATGTATAATAAGTCTGAATGTGACTACTGTTTTCCCTCCATTCATCTTTACCTGAATTGAGCTCCTTAACCAGTGATGACATTGTATTAGTGATTGAGTCAGCAGCAATGAGCAGGTCATTTCTCAGATTTCTCCTTGGACCTTTTGCGGTCAAACAAACAAACAAAAACAGTTTAAAGTGGGATCCTGTGCAGCTTCCAATAACAAGGACTCAGACCGCTGTAGTGTCGCTGTGTTACCTTGAGCGAAGGCCTCCTGAATGTCCCCGCCCACGCCCATGAGTGAGTCCTGAGGTGTGTGAGTCGGGGTCGTGCCGGCAGAATCCGAGTGGATTGGTGTGGGAATTGGCCGGTTGATGGTGTGGCTGGGTGAAGAGCGCGGCGAGCCGGGACCCTGAGTCTAAAGGATGTACACATTTAGTTTTTTGTGTAAGAAGAAAGCCTGAACGACTCCCATGCAGTATAAGGTAACATGCTGCTCCAAACAGAATCACATTCTTAAAAACCACTTCAAGTATTTGCAGAGTACAAACCACAAGATGCTGAATTAATATTTATCAAAGTTTCAACTAATCCGGAACATCATTTGGCATGTAAAGAAATGGAAAATGTCCATTAGTAAACAATTAGGTTTCATATATGGTGACCAATGACACATTATATTGCCAGAAGTATTCTCTCACCCGTCCAAATCATTGACTTCAGGTGTTCCAATCACTTCCATGACCAAAGATGTCAAAAAATAGTCACAATTTCCCATAAACACTCCTAAATGGCATCGGAAGGTCTTCAAAGAAGAGTTCAAGCTATTATAGCTGCAAAGGGTGGGCTGACATCATATTAAACCCTATGCATTAAGAATGGGATGTCACTCAAGTTCATATGCCTGTGAAGGCAGATGAGAAAATACTTTTGGCAGTATAGTGTCTGCATCTGATACTGTGGTCACATTATTGTGAGTATAAGACATGTTGTTCTAAAGATATACACACAATGCATTTACAACAAAAACACTTTTCCAAAAGGGACATCTCACTGGTATTGTATGTACGGTATTTATTTCTTGCAGATGCCACACACCCACACCAAAGGTTTCATTTCGAACATGCATCCTGGTCTCTTTTTCCTCTCTTTCACACTTACAGCTTGATTCCGCTCCTCTTCCTGCTAAAAAAAAAAAAAAAAAAAAAAAAAAAAAAGAATGTCTGACGGCTCATGAAACAGCAGCCATGTCTGTAAAATCGAATCGCACTTCCGCAAAGACCTGGTCAGCACGCGGCTTCCTCGTGCAAGTTTAGTGGATTAACATTGATCCTATTGGGCTAATTAGATTAATATCTTCCCCACTTAAGGCAGTACTGCAGGCAGGCTGTGCAGGCTTTGGGAAACTTGCATTATGTCAACTATAGATCAAGCTCACCCCCCATAGTAGAGGGTGGCAGACATGTCTTCTAAAGCATCCTCTGAATTAAGATCCCATGTAAGTCTGCAATCCGGCACCACTGAATGGCATTGGAAAATATGAAGGAGGGCACAAGTTTTGGATTTTAAACTGTATTTTCACAAGTTTTACAGCTTTTCCTAGTGATAAAGACCCACCTTTATCACTGTTCTCTTTTACAGCAGTTGAATTCACTTTTATTTATAAAGCGCCAAAATCACAAAAACAGTCATCTAAGGTGCTTTATATTGTAGGACACTAGAGTAATAAAGAGAAAACCCCAACAATCAAACAACTCCCTTTGAGCTAAAAACTGGCAACTGGGGGAAGGAAAAACTCCCATTTAACAGGAAGAAACCTTCTGCAGTCCAGGCTCAGGGAAGGTAGGCCATCTGCCATGACTGGTTGTGGGTGAAGGGAGGGAGACAGAATAAAAGACACACTGTGGGAAAGAGCCAGTTTGACATTCCCGAGCTATGATGAGTCCTCACAGCTAAGAGAAATAGTAATGCAAGGAAAAATCCCTTATCGGAGCATATTGGTCACCACCTGCTGTAAAATAATAATAATAATTATTATTATGTATATATAAGCTCACTATAGCCCACATGTCCATGTTTTCTATGTAAACAGTCTGCGACGGATAAGATTCAGTCCAAGAAACTCTGGAAAAAGGAAAAATAGCGTCTGCTCCTTCAGTGATCAGAAGGAATAAAACTAAACTGTTCACTATCTGACTGCACTGCGCTCAGAGATAAAAGGCACATCTGTAGTACCTTGAGAAGCATCATTAGTTGCTCCAGCTGCACCATGAGTTCCCTGCGACTCTCCTGCAGAGTAGACATTCTTTGTTCAAGCTCATCTTTGCGTTGCCTAACAGAAGAAACAAGTTGTACAGCATAATGAAGCCACAATGTCACGTCAGTGGCTCAAACAACCCCCCCAAAACATCATGAACATCTGCAGACTGAAAAACATAATATTCATTACGCATGTTCTTTAGCACCCTAAGCAAAGCTGTCTGTCATAACTCATTTGCATTTGGTAACGCGACGTAGGCGGAGCTACCTGAGGAGTCGTAGCTCAGCGAGCAGGGTGGGGTTTTGCTGGCCCCTGTCTGGTGGCGGCTGGGAAGCTTCCTCATGCTGAAGGCGCAGTCGCTGGATTTCCTGGAGGATTTCTCTGCGATGAGTACAAACATGTGCAAGTGCCACGTCAAACCGCATTTCTGACAGGAAGTCAACAAGATGATCTAAACCTGCAGTAACTGGTATTTCTGTCCACTATGAGGCAGCAGAAACAAGCTGCTCATCAGCTCAGTTATTTATAGCATCCAGCAGACACAGAACAATATAATTTTGTGACTATAGCAGTTCAACTATCGCCTTCTCTCAGCTGTTTGGTTTCAACTCCTGTAGGAAACACCTGGCTCTTCAGCAGCTAAATGCTCCAATACGAAACCCCTCTACCTTTTGAATACTGGTATACTGATACACCATTGTAGTGTCCACAGGCCAGTATCTGGTTAATAGTACACAAATATTTATTAGGCAAAATGAATAAATAGTTTGACTTATGGATGGCAAAATGTAATTTTTTTTTCCAGTGGTGGAAACAAGAAGTCATAGATCAAAAATACTGATTAGAGCTTCCTAGTTTTGTTACTTTTTACTCAACTAACTGATCCTAATAATATAAATACAATAAAAATATAATATTACTACACAGGTTGAAATAAAATTTAAATCTCTAACTTCAAACAAGCTTCCATAGGAGGAAGATAAATAGAGTCATTAATATTTTTTTAAGCTGATAAGTCCAAATGTCTTTGGTGCAGACACATCAGCTCAGGGAAAAAGGATATGATCCAAGGTCTAGCTAAAACGAATGATTACAGCCTTCTGGTTAACATGTTTTACTCACCTTTGCCTCCACCTCAATATAAATTTCCCTAATTTCATTAAACATAAATTTTTTCACAGGTACTTCTTTTATATTTCTTAATAGTCTTTGTAGAATCATATTTTATGTATTTTTATTAGCAATTTTAAACCACTTCAAAAAATTATTCAAGAATAATATAACTGAAATGAAATAGGTTTTATTTCCTTAAATAATGACTTTCAGCTGCAGTGTTTAAGTTAGTATTTAATGAGAGCCTGGAGTAGTGAATGCTTTTTGAGGTCTGTTCAGAGATGCCTTCATTCTGAGAGGTAAATTTCAAAAGAAAGGAGGCGAGCAGTTTCTCGGACGCAGCCATGCCTAACCTGTTTTTGCTCTCGAGCTCGGCAATGAGCTGTCTCTGCTGTTTGTTGGCATCCAGAGAGCAGGGGAGGTCTGTGGGGACCCTCTGCTGTTGAGCCTGTTGGTGAAACCAAGCGAGAGACATCACGTGAACTGGCTTCACCTCTAGGTGATGTCATCCACCAGCTTATCACATATCTCACAGGAGGGAACAAAGCAGTTAAGTCACCAGCCATCCATCAAGACCTCCGATAAGAGCATGAGCAGGCACAAGGCTCTGGTTAGCGCAGGTGGCTAACGTCTCTTTAGCAGAAATACAGATTTAAAAAAAAGAAAAAAAAAGAAAAGGAAAAAAAAAAGGTGTTTAAAAATACTCTAGTAAAAGCTGAAATACTGATTTGACCAATTTACTCAAGCATAGTGAAAAAGTACAGGGTGTGAAATGTAGTCATAGTATAGCAAGTGGCTCTTTGGAGGACATTTCGATCAACTATGTGTGTGCAAAAAAGAAAAAAAAAAAGGTTATTATAGTTGAAAAAACCAAAACCAGATGTTAAAAACCATTGTTGTTAAGTCAGATAAAATCATTTCCATTGTAATAGCTGTACTGATCTTCCCAACTCTTGCTAATGACTTACATACAATAATATTTAAAAAGTCTAAAGTCTAAATTAAATAAAACATTTTCCCACAACAAAACTGAATTTAAAAACTAAAATGTCAAAATTAAATAAAAACAAAAGCTAATCAGAAAATACAATAATAACTGGTGCAAAACTAACTGATACTTGTTATGTTAATACAATGATAAAATAGTATTAGCACATGAGAAATCAAACTAACTTCTAATTCTAATAAAAGTTTTCAGCTTGAACGTCTGTTGCCCACGCTGTGGATGGGTCACTCTGCCTCCACATCTAAACCGGAAAATGAGCCCAGTCAGGGGTTACGGTGGGATTTGGCTGCTGTGGGAACAGATCAGTTGTAGTGGTGGCGTGTAGAGAAGAGAATCACTTAGAAATTAGTCACAATAATTTCTACTGTGAGCTCCAGTAGATTTTGCGTGCATGCTGCGAACACCTGACCTGTGAGTACTCTGCTGTGGCAAAGTTTAGAGTTATGAACTGTGTTGGACTATTGAGGAGTAGCTGTGGCGTTCATGGTCAGTGTACCAGGGCAACAAACAATTTGAGTTTGAGCCAATGATGCTAATTAGATTCACTCACTGAATTCCACCTTTACACTGTCTAAGGGTTAGAAATCAGCTGTTATAGTTCATGTAACATGAACTATCCAGAGTATAAATTTCTAGTAGTAATACTTCCCTCCTGTATTGGTTAAGAATGATAACAGAGAATGATCACCTTCTTGACTGTAAAAAACACAAAAACGCGTGTGAGCGTCTCTCGTGTAGTGTCGGTGTATGTGTCCTCTCGTTTTTGTTGTTTTTTTAACTGGACAGTGATGAAAGATGTTTGTGTGAAATGGATATCTTTTATCTCACCGCAGCATCAGCAGCCAGTCTAGCAGCATAGCGAGCAATGAGACTGTGCTCGTCATCTTGATGGTTACTGCTCTCCAGCAAACTGATCAAGAGGAAAACAGAGACGGGAGAAAAAATACACAGCACAATTAAAAAAAAAAAAAAAAGTGTATGTGGACGCAACATGAGCACTCGAAATTTTAAAAAAAGCAAATAACTTTTACTTTTCTGAGTCGGATTCGGCATGAAAGCTTCGACAGGAAGTAACACTAAGCTAGTCGCGTGAAACGCAAAACAATAAATTAAGAGGGGTTAAGTAAAAGAGTGGAGATACAAAGCAATCGATCGCTTTGTATTTGAAAGCTTATCTAATTACAAATACAGTAAAAACAACAAAAACAAAAAGCAAAGAAACCATACAGCTCTGTATTTACACATTTATGCACACACATGCGTACAGTAGGGTCAAAAGCTGCTACAATAACACAACATGTTATCTGGAAGTCATTCACCAATAAAACACACATATAGGCATTTTATCATAGGCCACACAACAATAACAGAAAATATGTCAAATCACCTGCAGTAAATTAAAATGATTAAAAGTCACAGGATTTACAGGATCAAACAAACAAAAGACTAATAATTTGATACCAGTTAACTAAACTAATCTGTATTGGAAGTTACACAAAATTAAAAAGCTGCCACTTTTAACTTGATAAATTTCACTCAAAGACAACACATGTACACTGCATGGAGTTATAGAGTCATAATGTTGGAAGAAATAGACCCTGTTACCCACTTTGGATACAAATCAGTCAGAAACACTGCCGGGGAATGCAGAAAGGGTCAAAGGTCAAAGCAACCAGCCTCTAAAACAATCTGACAGCATGCATCGTTAGGACTGTAACACACTCGGATTAGGTTAGGGGGAAAGGGGGAAAGGCGGCAGTTCAGCGGAGCACATAGTTTCCACTAGTGTTTGGCAAACACAGCGGCACACCCACTAACCATGTTTTGGGGTTGTTTTGGAGTAGGTTCACATAGAGGCCAATGAGTACATGTTCGTCAGCAAGTCTATCGGCAACATCGAGGTTGTAGTTCAACCTGGAACAGTGCAGGGTTTCACAAAACACAAGACATTACGTTACACAGGTGACAACGGGGTTGAGTGGGGACGGGAAAGAGTGAGGGAGGCAGGGAGAGGACACGACAAAAGAAAAGAGGAGGAGAACAGCTGAAAAGCAGCCATTCATGGGTGACCAGAGCGAAACAAGGCCATATTATGTTTGGGAGAGACACTGCCGATGAAGGCTAAGAGTAGACTGAGGGCATGCCAAGCAAAAAACAAAAACAAAAAACAATTAGATAAATACTCTACAGGTACTTAGTCATCTATTAGTAAAACTATCAAAAGTCTATTTATTGCTTAAACATTCACGTTAAGTCAGGTGTGCATGGCCCCTTTATAGAGGCCACCCACCAGGATTGCAAACATCTCTAATGTAGTGACCATGCGGTTTAAACAATATTTTCAATAGCAGCTTCTTTTATTAGCATTTACAAGTACATGTATGTTATAATGTCAGAAGAAAGCAGTGATTACAAGGGCAGCATCGTATGCAGGAATGCCCAGCCCTGTCCTTCAGCTCATCCCAAACCAGCAGAGAGATGTAAACTCTCACGTGGGTCTATCCTGGAGCCTCCCCCTCTAGGAGGCACCCAGAAGGCATCTTATTTATATGCCCAAACCTCCACAGCCGTCTCCTTTCAATGTGGAGTAACATGGATTCTACTGTGAGTCCCTCCTGAATGATTGAGCCTTTCACCCCATCGCTAAAAGAGAGCCCAGACACCCTTGAAATGGAAAAAAAACCCCAAAAAACCCAAAAACAACCCCAAACCCAAAGGCTACCACATAATTATCATGGATGTTCACTAGCCAGTACAGCATACTGACCAGACCTAGCTCGGACGTACGATATACTGTATGTGATGGAAATCAGCTGTTAATGTTTAGGACAGTTGACGTGATCTAAATGAAACACCATTCATTTATTGTTAAAAATAAAATCCTTTTATTTTTTAAATTACCTTTATTGGGCAATTTATAGTTAATTAGTGAAGTATTAAAAGAAAGAAAACCATGAGATAAAACAACGCTCCGAGTGAAGTTGCAGATATATGCATGGATATATTAAGAATTTATTAGCACAACCCTCGATGGCAATTGTTCCCAGTGGCCATGCATGGTACTGCAACAACACCACCACCACCACCACCTTTTTTGGAGATCAGAAATGAGACACCTCATACACTACCCTCCTTGCTCTTTAACATGCCATAACAACACACCTCCCTGAACTACAGGTATATTGTTCTCATTGTTGTGCCCCCACCCTGCCTCCCCCCTTTCTCATTTCTCACGCCTCTCATTAACACATGGGGGTCTGCCCGACGCTGCCAGTCCTCAACCGCAGCCTCAGATCTGTTCTTCTCCCAGGATGTGGCCCCTGCTAGTGAATTATTTATTATGACATTTCACCGTATACTGTCCATGCTTCTAAACCTGTAAAGTCATACATTTATTAACAATCATCCTTGCTGTCTTTAGTTGTAGTCAGCTACCAAACTTCTAAACAGGCCCTGTAGCATATGGGATTATCAGCCTGTTCAACGGCGACTTCAGTGTCAGTTATGAAAGCGGGCAGTGTGCCCAAGAGGAATGCTTTCATCTCTCAAGTGCAGGTACAGAAGTGCACAAATTCCTCTCACTAGAAAAATCAACTAAACTACATCTCCTAAAACAACATTATTACCGACCGAGGAAGCGCCTTAATCCCACTTTGTCTAAAACGAATATACCTACTCACATACACCGTAAACAATGAACCTGGGAATATATAGCATAGCATATGAGCTGACTGATGGTAACATTCAAAGAAAATGGCAGTTAGTGTTTCCCATATCTGTGTGAATGAAGAGATTATAATAGGCACTCTAAACGAAGCGCCAATGATCTTCATGATGCATGCTTCATCTAGCGTCTTTGAAACAGCCCCTAGAGAATAACAGTGTACAGCCTTCTATAAGAAACCCGGCTTGCTAATAGTTTCCTCAGGATGATAAGCACTCTAGTTAATGCGTATGATTATTATCTATATTAGTTTGCGCATGCATTCGCGCTACAAAGGCATTCTCATATGCACACCTATGCCACTTACCCTCTCCCTTTCAGCAGATGTGGAGCAGCCCCAGTCAGGGGCTTTCTCTGCCCAACAACATTATTCTTGCTGTAAGGCAAGCCATTTACATTCAGCTCGAGAAAACACATTAAATGGTGATGTACAAATCTTCACACATGCACCCACACCATCAAAGACTTCAGGAAAATAAAGACCGCGTGGGTCATGGAGTTCACGGGGCGCAGGGTCTTTAGGGAGCACGACAGATTGAAAAGATCTGTTGTGAAATCCAGGGCACCCGTTGTCAGCTGGGATGTACTCACTTTTTGGTGGAGTAAGGGTTCCCTGATGTAGGCATGGAGTGGGAGAATGAGTAGTCATTGGTGATGTTCACCGGTCTTGGTGGCCTGGACAGGAAACACGTGTTAGATTTTAATTTGATCTGACAGAAAAGCTAAAGAGACAGAAAACACCAGTTAGTCTTTCATTCTTGAGGATTTTGCTCAACTGCATAATCTCTGAATTTCCACTTGAGTGGTTTATACAGTATGATATCATGTAGGAGAACATGCAAGAATGAATGAATGAATGAATGAATGAATGAATGAATGAATGAATGAATCTGGGAATTAACAAACAAAACAGTGTTTGGGACACGTCACAAGTGGGGAATGTGAGTGGATGAGTCTGACTGTACACGATTAGCACAATACAAAGGAATCAATCTACAGTAACAATCAAGTATGATTCATATTAATCAAAGCAAACTCACCACGTATCTCTATTGAGGAATGTAAAGAACAAAGAAAGGGATAAATACTTGATTACATTACAGCAGCACAGGAAGAGACTATAATACATCAAAAACAATGAAAAAAAAGAAAAAAAAGAATGAAAACTAAATTGGGCATCCACAAAAGACAGTGCCCCAAATCTGAGTTTGTAGCATAATTCAGTTCAGTGAAGAAAGAGAAGAAAAAGTGAGTTTTTAAATAACTGAAAGTAGCGATGCCAAAGTACAGTGTACATATAAACCTGCTGGTTTGTAGATTAGATTACAGGTCAGCCTCATGAAATTGCATCCATGTACAGAATCCCATTTTGTTTCATGCATGCATGAAAATTTGCACACTTCCAGTCACCTCTACAAATTAAAAAAAACAAAAACAAAAACCCTCACACCTTATGTTAACGTCATTATTAGTGTTGTAAAATCTTTTTGATTTTACTTTTCTTTCTTCTTTTTCTGAGCCTGAATTAAAACTATACTCTGTTATTAATTATTGTCTCTTTAGACATGATGTGACTTATGTGCACCATTAAAACGACGGTAATGAACTTTTTTTGGTTGACATTTATTACCAAATTACAGTTTGTCTGATAAGTTAAAAGCAATTTTCTATTTACCTAGTTTGCTATATTAGATATTCATAAGTAAAACTATTAAAAAACTGTTTTTTCTAAAGAAAAACATGATCTTCCATTTAATATCGAGCAAAATCAAAGATCAAATTATATTTTAATCCTAGAATCTGTTTCTTAAACACCTTATGGCAGTCACACTGTATATGTTGAAGGCTTTTACTGTGAAAGGAAGGGACAGGAAGAATTTATTTCTTCAATTCTAAAATATATTAATAATCAAACTTTCGGATCTCATGTTATCTTTACCTCTTAAACTAGCATTGAAATCTATTACCCATCTGATTTTCTGTAAATATGTTGGTGGCATCATTCTGAAAATTTTGGGTCATTTGCAGGCTATAAAACTGGGACAATTAACATAACAATTAACTTTAATTGCAGGAATCATAAAAATGGAATAATCAGTGTGTTGTTTAGCTCTCAGCACCAGAAGTGACTTTATGTCTGTAAGATGGGCTTTAATAGGCAGCAGCAAAGTGCTTAAAAGTCTATGCTTTCATGCCTGATATTTGTTTCATTATTTATACGACGACACTAAACATCAAGGAAAAAGTAGCAGCAGCGCTGCAGATTACAAACAATCCCAAGGCTGTAATTAAGCCTGATTGATCAGTTGACCTAAGAGATTGACTGGAATCACTTCAGACCAAGGAAGCAGTTACAGGATCATTACCAGCTGAGGGATCAATTTAAAACATTTCAAGGTTTCAAACTGGCACTGAATGCTCTGAATGCACATTCCTCAGTTTCAGTGTTATAAAGGAAAAAAAAAAAGGGGAGCGAGAGCAGATGAACTTACACAATATGAGCTAGGTTGAGAGGTTTATCTGGCATTTCAGGAAACAAGGGGTGAAGAGGCTCTCTGCTGGATGCACAGCTCAATGACTTACTGAGGGCGTGGGATAACTTCTTAGCGGGGGATTTCTGGGTGATACACAGAAGCAAGGTGACGGTTGTGAGGATGCTCATTTCTTTTTCAAAGCACACGGTAAATCACCACGGTAACACTGTCACCTGGACTGAATCTTCAGATTCCTCATGTTGTAGCGAAGCAGAACAAAAATAGCCACAATGACTGGTCCAGTGCAGACACACCTCCCCTAGCCTCCTCCCCCCTTTCCTCCCTTCCTTACCCATGACGTATACTCCTTCATTTGGTGCTGGTTGCTATGGGAACCGCTGGCATGCCCCCTCCAGAAGCAGTCCTGACAGAGCTGGTAATTATGACATTGCTGGCAGCGGTAGCGGAAGCCCATCATACTCTCAGTATGGCAGTAGGAGCACTCGACCGGGTGAAACACTGCAGGGAGGAGAGGAGGAGCCAGACACACACACACACACACACACACACACACGAAGGCAGATGCATAAGCGCACACACACACACCAGATGTGACTGTAAACCCAGATATTTTGCACATTGCAGAGAGCTGATAATACATTTTCATTAATTTAAGGACAGATGTGCTGGGATATCTTGCACCC